TGGAAGAAGGAACAGTTGATAACGAAAATATGAACAAAAAGAAATCGAAATGTAAGTACTGAAATGTACCATACAACTACAAAACCTGATTGACTTTAACCAAATTAGCAGTACTATGTTTTTATCAAAACTGAGTATGAATTCAAACTTTAAAGTATGATTGCTATTGCACAACATGCAATCAATTTTGTATGAACAAAAAATGAGCCTATTATGAGAATATTGTAAAGTATGTGCAAACGCAGTTTGGTAATCACATCAACTGTGTAGTGGAGATGGATGCAATCAAGTACTGTCTTGAAGCATTGCACAATATTGTATGTGGTGTGTACGATTTCTATAAAGTTTGAACACATAGACTCCATATAAAAAAAATTCGTTCAAGCATTTTGGCAGCTCTGAAACTCAGAAATGGAAGGTTCAATAGATTCAATTACCCCTTGCGTATTTTACTGTCGCCTCCATATCATACACTAAAACAGCAACATTGCTAGCTGGGTTAAGTTAAAGCAATCTCAACGGAACAGACGAGACATCAAACTAATACTGAGGGACAATGTAATACATTTGATTGTATAAATTGCTATATGACAAATGGCAAAGTTATCCAAATAAATTAAATAAGATGTATACATGTAATTAATGTCAGTCTCACATCACAGGACACAGACGCTGTTGTGTGGCATAATGCAAGTAAATTCCTGCATTTCTCCAAATAGTTGCACCAGTTCTATCACATGATCTTGAGATGCACATAGCAAACAGGTCTGCAACATAGCTGGCAATGTCGCTGTTTTGGTGTCTGGGACAATATTTTCATTTAAATTAACAGTTGTGCATATACAGGATCTTTATAAAATGACTTATTATGACCATAGACTTACCTCTGTCATTTACGCAAGTACACAACTAACAGAGTGAATACAGTAATTATTGTTCCACAATTTGTAGAAATTATTAATTAGGGGCCCAAGCCTGTAGGGCGTGGCTCCTATTCTTATTGTTCGGTTTTTTAGGGGCCCAAGCCTGAAGGGCGAGGCCCCTATTCTTATTGTCCGGTTTTTTCTTCTTTCTTCTTTCTTTCTTTCTTCCGTAACTATTTTCGTCAAGCCGTTTGAGAAAACCGCTG